CTTACACGAAATAGGGTGAATACATCTCATTACACTGATTTACTGGTAGTCTCGAAACCCTACTCACATAGACTGTAGTCTGGTTGACAGCATTATTAACCTCTTTGTTGGTCAATGTTGGGTCCGAATGTTTACGGAAAATACTCTGCTGAATGATGAGCCAAACCTTGCAAATCAACATTCAGCCCACTTTTTGCATCCTCCAAATGGTTAGAGAACAAATTCTCTATTTTTCCCTCTTCCTACTCTCACATACGCCTATGGGTGCCCTATGATGATCGCATTTTTTGAGCCTGTATCCTTTTATCCCTACTGTATGCACCATGGCTAGGCGAGCTGATGACTCAGAGGCAGAGTAAAGACAGAGAAGTATGACCTCCTGGTGATCGGTAAACTGAGCAGTTCGGTTGCTAGGTCAATGTTTTACTCAAGGCCTATATTGTTCTGATTAATTCAGATGAATAATAATCGTCTGATTGGCATTTGGAATAAAATTGCACTAGGATGGCATCTCAAGTTATTTTACTGGTAAGAAATGATGGCACCGGGGGCACCATTTTGGGGGTATGACACGTAGGAGCTTTGTGATATGTAATAATATATGCCATAAAGATGAGATAAACCTGAAAAATGAAGCCTCCCGATTGCTCCGAGGATGAGCGCCAGCTTGGGCCAACAAGCAAAAGGAGACTGTGACCAAATGGAAGGACACACCAACTTGGTCTTCATATCTAAGATGGCAATGTTAAGTTGCAACTCACCTGAAGATGAGACATCAATAGTTCCGATGGTTGGTAGTAGAGACTTTGAAGTAGGCAGATCTACACCGAAATTTATTTGCCAGTCAGAGTTGCAACAGGCTGTAGGCAGGCCTTGGCATATGCCGGTTTCGAGACAGTGGAGGTCACCGGGCTGGCCGATCACCAAGATTTTGTATGTAACTGGACCACTGTTTTTTTCATCCAAATATGTTGGTTTTTGTTCTTTTCTACTTTAGAGAGAAAATTCGACTTCAAAAACCTTGTCCAGTCGTGTTTAGAAGCAGAGTCTGTGCTTAGTGCGGAGCTAGATGAGATCAAATCGGAGGGGATGACAAAAAACTGCTGCCTCCAAAATGGTTTCCACGATGTTTCTAAGGCATGTTCTCGACCTTTGCCCAGGTAAAAAAGTTGTTCACTCTGTACTATTTCTCAACTAGCCTTGTCAACAAGTTATTTGTAGATAGTGTCTACCTCA